GAGCAGGAGGAGGAAGACGAGGGAGGGGACGTTTGAGGAGGCGGAGGAGGAGGACTAGGAGGAGGCGGAGGAGGAGGAGGAGGACGAGAAGGAGGAGGAGGATGAGAAGGGGGAGGAGGAGTAAGGGGGAGGAGGAGGAGTAGGAGGAGGAGGAGGGGGATGATGCGGAGGAGGTGGAGGAGGGGGAGGGGGAGGATGGAGAGGAGGAGGAGGAAGAGTAGGAGGAGGAGGAGGGTGATGATGATGCTGCTGAGGATGATGATGATAATGGTGATGGTTATGGTGATGCTGATGATGATGATGATGATGATGATGATGATGATGATGATGAGGATGATGATGATGATGATGATGATGATGATGATGATGATGGTGATGATGATGCTGATGCTGATGATGATGCTGCTGATGATGATGATGATGATGGTGGAGCTGATGACGATACTCATGATAGTACTGATGATGATGGTGATGGTGCTGCTGTTGAGTCTGATTATGACGAGGATGTTGATGGTGATGCTGATGCCGATGCTGATGCTGATGATGATGATGATGCTGCTGATCATGATGTTGCTGACGACGATGATGATGATGATGCTGATGGTGATGCTGATGCTGATGATGAGGCTGATGAGTATGAGGATGCTGAGGATGATGATGAGGATGATGATGACGGTGATGACAATGCTGATGATGCTGAATCTGCTGACGATACTGATGATAATGCGGAGGATGATGACGACTATGATGCTGCTGATGATGATGCTGATACTGATGGTGCTGATGCTGATGATGCTGGTGGTGATGATGATGCGGCTGAGGATGGTGATGACGTTCACGCTGCTGATGATGCTGATGCTGCTGCTGATGATGATGGTGATGCTGATGTTGATACAGATGAGGAGGATGATGCTTATGATGATGCTGCTTATGCTGATGATGATGAGGCTGACGATGCTGATGCTGATGCTGATGCTGATACTGATGATGCTGCTGCTGGTGATTATGGTGATGGTGACGATGATGCTGATGACGATGCTGATGATGATGATGATGCTGATGCCGTTGCTGATGCTGATGATGATGTTGATGCTGAGGGAGATGCGGTGCCGATACTGATGAGGATGATGCTGGCGATCATGATGACGATGCTGCTGCTGCTGATGAGGCTGCTGATAATGATGAGTATGCTCAGGATGATGATGGTGGCGGTGATGGTGAGCATCATGATGGTGGCGATGATGATGCTGATGATGAATTGGTGCTGATACTGATGCTGATGATGATGTTGATGCTGATGCTGATGAGTCAGATGATGATGATGATGATGATGATGATGATGATGGTGATGCTGATGATGATGCTGATGATGATGAGGAGGACGCTGCTGATGTTGTTGCTGATGATGGTGATGCTGCTGAGCGTGATGATCATGATGCTGCTGCTGCTGATGATGCTGATGATGATGCTGACGATGACGATGACGATGACGATGACGCTGACGATGACGATGATGATGATGATGATGATGATGATGATGATGATGACGATGACGATGACGATGATGATGATGATGATGATGATGATGATGATGATGATGATGATGCTGCTGCTGCTGCTGCTGATGAGGATGATTCTGCTGCTGCTGATGGTGATGCTGATGCTGATGCTGCTGCTGACGATGATGCTGATGCTGATTCTGATGCTGATGCTGATGCTGATGCTGATGATGATGATGATGATGATGATGATGATGATGATGATGATGAGGATGAGGATGAGGATGAGGATGAGGATGATGATGATGATGATGATGATGATGATGATGATGATGATGATGATGATGATGATGATGATGATGATGACAGCGTGTCCCTGGGTCCGTTCGGTTCGTTTCGGTTCGGGGGAAATTGGTTCGGTTCAGTACGGTTCTGGTTTCGGAGCTGTTTGAGGCGGTTCCCATTCAGAGGGCGGTTCCGTTTCAGCCGGTTCCATTTCGGTTCTCGGTTCTTGCAGATGACGTGTGCGCGTGTGCGTCTACATGATCATCTGGAGGCGTTTGGAGGTTCAGTTCAACGAGGAGTCAGGAGGAACCCTGGGGCCAGGGGAGCCACTGGGCCCAGCTGCCCGACGAGCCAGGGGAGCCACTGGGCCCCGACGTTACGCATGGTGCCCTCGACGGACCAGTCGACAGCATCGTGCCCTCTGGGCAAGGCGGGCTCTGGCGACAGCGGGCGATTCCTCAGCGCCAGGATAGAAAACGCTTGGACTACGGTCTGGGACAGTACGGACCACTCACTCTTGGCATGGGTCATCCCAAAGTTCAACTGGGAAGGCAAGGGCGCCGCCCGCGCCTTCACTGGGCGCGCGCAGGATGGTGGGGGCCCATCCCCGGCCGCCGTCCCCAGTTCGGCCCTGGAGGCCCCGAAGACCCCTGGAAGCCCAAAGCGCATTTTCGAACCGTCCAAAAATGCGTATGAGCTTTTCCGCCGCCCTTCCG